AAAGTTCAAACAGGGTTTGGCGCAACCTTTTTTTGTTGGTTAATTTTTTCCCCCTCCAATATTCCTACAGTAAATTATTTTTTTCTTAAGGATGAATTTACTAAAGACAAACTCATCACGCCAGAGAAGAATATATATATATGTATATATATTTAAATTTTTGCAGTTGCTCCTGGAAATATTTTTGTCCTCCCTTTTTTTTTTTTTATTGGACCCGTTTTCATTGTGCAGTTTATTTAATAAGCTGCTGTCGTTTTTGTTTGTTTTGGAGAATCAAGCCCTCATGGTTCATCATGAGGAGACGGATCCTTAACTGTGATTCTGGGGTTCACTCCCTCTAAAATAAGTTCTGGAGATTCGGACCTTGGGGTTTCCAGGTTACTGGTGTCGGTGTCACTGTCGCTGCCCTTTTTGCCCCCTCCGCCCGCCGTGTGCGTTTTGATGTGCTTGCTCAAATGGTCACTGCGCATAAAGCGCTTGTTGCACACCGGACAGGCGAACCGTTTCTCACCGGTGTGGGTGCGCAGGTGTCTCTGCAGCTCGTCGGACCGAGTGAACCTTTTGCCGCAGAAAAGCCAGTTGCACACAAAAGGCCGCTCGCCGGTGTGCCACCTCAAATGCGCCTTCAAGTGGGATGTTTTCCCGTAGACTTTACCGCAGCCCGGGATGTGGCAGCTGTGCAGTCCTTTCCTCCGCAGGCTGGCCCCGGCGGGCCCCAGCCGCTCGGCTTCCTGGCAGTTCGGACAGTCACATGTTGCTCTACCGGAGTACCGCCTGGAGGACCGGGATGAGCTACTTATTCCTGAAGTGCCGCCCGAGATCATGGCGTTTGCGGCGGAAGCGTCTGTGTAAGTGGGGATGACTGTCTTGAAGCCGTCCTGCGTTAACAGGTGCTGGCTGGTGGACAGAAGGTGAGACGCGGACGGGCTGATTCCGGTGGAGCTGAAGGCGGAGTGCGTCAGGGAGGAGAAGTCCGGGTTGTAGCCGCTGAGCTGGGAGTGGATGGCCTGGGGCGTCCCGGAGTGCAGCGAGGTCTGGAGGGTACCGGTCGGATTCTGCACGTCCAGCCACGAGCCGGGGTTGCCGTGGACATCCCACCACGAGGACGCGCCGTTGGCGACGTCGCCGGAAATGGTGGAGTGGAAGCCGGACTTGTACCAGGATTCGTACGGGTGCGCCATCCCTACCCGCGGGTACAGCGTCTCCGCCGATGTGTGAACTTTGGAGATGAAGGCGGACTGGCCGGACTCCTGCGTCGTGACGCAGGTGGAGTTGGAGAACAAGCCGCTGTACTCGGTGGAAAACGCGGAGGAAGTCGGCGAGGTGGAGGCGAGGCAGAAGGCGCTGTTGCCCGCGCCGCTGGTCGGAGTCAGTCCCGTGGAGGCTCGGCTCGTCGCCACCGTGAAACCGGGCAGGCTGGAGCCCAGGTTGCAGCTGGAGGAGGATCTTTTCCAAGGATGAAATCCGCCTTTGGAGAACGCACTGGAGTCTGGCAAAGTTGTCAGAGGGCTGGTGTTGCCGATTTTATTGCAGGTTGCAGCTAACATAGCAAGAGGTGTAGTTCCAAAGCGTGGTTCTTCCTGGGATGACACAGAGAAAGTTTGTTTTAGAAAAACGATAAGCTGCAAATACGAATAAACTCATTTTATCCAGAAGCCCACATAGGTTTCAGTTATGAGCAGCAGAACTCAAAGTTTCCTACACACAAAAAAAATATATAAATAAAATAAAACTACTTCAAAGTTTTTGTTTGGAGACACTTTGTTTCAAAACTTTGCTTTTTCATTATAAGGATCTGATCAAACAAGTTATAAAAAGGCGTGTTTCTGTAATCTGTGCAACTAGAAACAGTTTTATAAAGTTTCTTAAAACTAATTTCATATATGAATACCCAGAAAAACAAGTCAAATATTTAAAGGTGACAACAGAGAGAAATGTTTACCAAAAAGCAAGAATGTTTTTCTTTTCGTTTCTGGATCAAAATAACTTTTAAAGTCCAACTCACCCCAAGTATAGACGTAGCCATATCCGGGCTCTGCGCAGCGCCGAGAGTCTCCGCGGCGTCCAAGCTATATGACTCCAATGTGATTGAGATTTCACCGCGTTGTGACTCGGGTCACACGGGTTTGTTTCTCTCTCTTGGCTCGCAGCTACTCCGACACTACCTAGTTGTAGCGAGCGTCTTCTTTGAAGTACAGCTGGAGAGGACGCGCAGCCAATCTCCCAGCCGCATTCTTAACCGGGGGCTCGTGTTCAGCCAATGAGAAGCCCGACCGCAGACAGAAACACCAAAAAACCCCGCCGTCAATCAAGTGTTGCGCTGCCTCTTGCCTCAAGACTGTCACCCAAAGAAGCGATTTGATCTAATTTTTTTTTTAATGCACGCAGTTTATTTTTACGCATTCTCACACGAAGGGCGCAATGTCGACTCTCTTTTTGATTGCAGAATTGAGTTCGCGCGTCAGATCTCCGGGAGGTAAGCGTTTCGCTCGTTTTATTATAAGCGTTTGTCCGTTCTGCTCTGTACTTCCATGATTATTTTCCATATTCAGATCATGCGCAATAGGACGTTTCAAATAATTTGGTTTAACTTGAAGATCACTTTATCAAAATAAACCGGCTGGCAGCTTGCATTGGGGAAAATAAGCTGATCCAAGAGGCTTTTATTTATCTTAATAACTTGATAAGTTACAGTGGAAGGATAAGAGGGTGAAGGATAAAGTTTGAAGAGGGCCTGCTGTGGAACGGAATGCGTAAAACTGCATTTAAATCCAAAAAGATGTGGAGACACTCCTTAATGGGTCAGCTTTGCAATAATTTTGTCAACTCTTAGGTTGGACAGGCTTTGAGCTTTTAGGGTCAGCGCACTTGTAGGAGAGCACCTGTTAGAGACTGATCTAAAACTCTCATCTTGTTCAAATAAATAAAAAAAAAGCAATAATATAAATAAAATGCATGCGTAAAGGACAAAGTGCGCATGCACCTGACATGCATCCCCAGTCTAACTGAGTTTGCGATTAAATATGCAAATAAGTAGCTGTGTTTCTTTTTGTTTTTTGTTTTTTTGTTTGGTTTTTTAACTATATGCTTGCAATTAACTTGTCAACAAGCACACATATAGAAGCTCGTTAAAACGCCCGGAGATAATGGCACAATGTAAAATTGACCTGCTCTGATGTGATCCATCTTTTCTCCTTTTTTTTCTTCTTTTTTTTTTTTAAGTTAAAGCAATTTTCCGGTGGGAGGAAAAAAAACAGCTTGACCGAAGGATGTTCATCACCGTATTCAAAAACGGGCAAATAATGCTCTATTATGTGGTGTGAATACTGCCAGTAAACACAGGCGCAATTTGTTCAAATGCTCTTCCTTTTCTCCAGCTTTAAAGCTCACATACAGCTTTGGAGGGGATTAATAAATATCTGTCTCATCAGCAAGCGGACGCTGCCAAGATTTTTATTTTATTTTATTATAACAATCATGACAATTTTATACTTGGATGTTGTTAACTTTATTATAAAGCCAATTTGACGTTTTTTTGTTTTTGTTTTAGAAATATATGTTTAAATGTTTTTTTATTATTATTCTGTAATATATAATTCCATCAAACCAAATTAAAAAACACACTTAAAAATATCCTTATATTATGTCTGTTCTAAAAAGTTTTTGATCAGATTTATGAAATGTTTAATAAATAAATGCACACATTTCAGAAAGTATTAAAGGAAAAACAATGAATTAATTTATTTGCAGAATAAAGACAGCATATTTTTTTCTTTTATGGGACAAGAGGACTGAACACACTCTTTCCTTGTCACTCGAGTGAAAGCTCAGAGTTGAATCTGTAATACCGCGCTGCATTCGTGAGCACTTAGGAGCCCATTACAAGCCATTAGATTGATCAATGTACCTTAAACAATGGGAATGATTTATTTGGTCGAACAAAACGCTCTGCATCTATTGTGACGAGTCTAAGTGGGGGTGCATCCATCAACAAAAGATAAATGATTAATTCAGATCTATTCATTTCTGAATTCTTCCCTGCAAAAACGCGCGGCCCCCCTGCACTTTGCCTCGAATCCAGATTATTAGAGGCTCATTTTCTGCATGTTAAACCCAGGCAGGCTTTTCTGGATTGGGCCAGGACTCTCTGGTTGTGCCCGCTTTAATTTGCGCGTCTGCAGAGGGAAGTTTATTTGAGGATGTTTAACTAATTGTTGCAATTTCGTGCGCTCATGTGGCTACACCTGTTCCTCTCTAAGGGGTCTGGGTAAACTGTGCGTGAAAGGATTTTGTGCTGTGAATCTGTGCTGCTTCCTATCTCACAGCTTCATCTAGTCCAGCGGAAAGTATCTTTCTTGAAGATTGTTTCCCCCCACCAAATTATTTATTCTTTCTTCATAAATCTAAATTTATTTTTCTTTGTCTATAGTCAGAAAATGGTTTTCTTTCTTTATGCATTAAGATTTGTACATGACTTGCAGGAAGTTTTCCAGCTTTTAAATTCTGTCATTTAGTAGATTAAATAAGGTCACAGTAGGTAAACACATTGTCATCCTGCAAAAAGCTTAGTATTTCTACTAAGATACCACTAAAGATTGATGAATAACACCTTTCCTCAACTTTAAAAAAAATAGTTTTCTTCAGCTTAAGCAAATAGTATATGGCAGGTTTGGTTGCCCTGCAGAGTTGGAGCAGATTTATTCTGGGATATTTTCTCTGTATTTTTGTATTCTTTAAATGAAAAGCACAATATAATCAGTCAAAAAATATTCTAAGAACAAAAACAAAAAACAACAAAAGAGAAAGTGAAACCATAAATCTTCTAACATAGCACATACATCTGCTAAGCCTCTAACCAGGTATAAGGGGGATTTTTCACACATGCATAGGGTGGATTTAATAGAAGCTCATTAACTCACAGGGATACTATCGACAGCTAAATATGGAGGTGCAGGTCAGCTCGCCAGCTTACAGTGTCAACTTACATCCCCACATGCTGCATGTTGCTATTTTGAGCACATGCAGAAGAGTTCAAGCTGAAGCGCTTACAGTCAGCCTGGTTATGTTCAAGTACTGAATGAATATGCTTTTCTGAGTGTGTCACCTGCATTAGAAGTCGATTCAGGATTTAAGAGTGAGAGACATGGCTCCAAAAAAGGTGTGTTTTATGAAAGAAGAAGGGTTTGATTTTAAAGGGAGCAAGAATCAGGGTTTATATGTAACGGTAAGTTTTGATTTTGAATACAGAAATTTACATGCTGTCTTCATTAGGCCAAAGGAGATGATGCACCAAAGCCACCACCGCTGATTGGAAGGTTTGGAACTTCTCTGAAGATAGGGATTGTCGGTTTGCCCAATGTTGGGTAAGATATAATGACATGCTCTCTACGTTACCATTAAATTATTTTCTATAATAGTAAAATATAAAGATTCGTCAATCAGAATATTAAAGGAATTCTTCATTTATTTCTAGAGTAAAGCTTAAAATAGTTAAAGCTTTTGGGAAGAAATGTTTTTCAAAACAATGCATGCCCTTTCACAAATACAACAAGAAAGAATTGCACCTCATATTGTTGACAATGTTCCCTTAGTCCTTCAAAACTACAGCATTAAAAAGGCTAGTAAACATCAGAAGCCATGTGTTGCCCCAGCACATGTCTCTCCTTTCCTGAATACTAGATTCCTTGCTCTCCTGAACTGATTTTTTTGGCCACATGTGCTCCCTTCTTTGTTCAAATAAGATATCAAAGAGGTAACTCTAATAATATTTAGGATTATTTGGCAGGATTTTTGCAGCAGGTTTTCCTGATAGTATTTCTTGATTTCTAGTAAACAATCACATTAACCCGCAGCATGCACTTACACAGCATGCAAATATCTACTTCTGAGCTTGATACTTTATTGTTAACTTTATTGTTTAATGTCTCTTTTTCTGTTCCAAAACCTGCCTGTATCAAAGTCAGTGCAGCAATGTGTCCTGACAAAAAGAAATTTAAATTGGTCAAGATTGGAATCAGAAGATAAGACCAAAGAAACTTTAACCTAATCGTATTGAACAGGAAAAAAAGTATTGTTTCATTACAGATTAGATGTTTTATTTGTTTTAGAAAACAATGTAAAAAATATAGTTTCTTTTGAATATGTTACTGTTACTATTTGTGGGATGCTGCTGTAAAAGGTTCAGCAAAAATTCAAAAAGGTATTTAAGGTAGGGGCTATCTACTATAGGAGCTTTCTGCATTCAAAACAGCAGCGCCACCGTTGCCCATATTTGCCATTAATACAGGTGCACTGGGGAGCTCACATGATTTGGGTCTAAATGTGCACTAATGCAGAGGATTTTGTTTAATTTGTAATCTAGTAATTTTGATTAAATTAGCTTTAACAGCTTGTGCATTGCACTTTAGGGCTGAGAAATTCACAGTAAGAATAGAATTGTATTGCTCTAGGAGTGTCCCCAAGTTTTAAAATGAATAGAGGAATGCATTGGCAAAGACAGAACTTTGGATAGCATAGCATGGGATTAGGTGCAACTACTTTGTAATTGCTACCTTCAATTTTTGAGTCTCATCTCCAATGATTTTGTACTGTCAACAGTCATGAGTGCAATGAATTTTTAAGCTGTGGTAGACAGCCTAGCTTACCTGCTGGTCAAATTGTCTGTGTGTTTCAAGTGTTACAAGCATAATTAATCAGTGGCATTCTGCCTTTATATGGCACAAAAAATAAAGCAAAGTTTGATGGGATATAAGGTTAGAGTTGTGGCCATAACATCGATGTTTTCTATTGGTTTTGCAGAGGTCATCTACAAAGAAATATAGATAAAACACCTCGCAAAGAGACACGCCTAGATTTAATTAAACATGTTCAAATTGCATAGCTTGGGGCCCTTTAACCATCAGGGGCCCAAACTACTGTCCATGTTAACCATCAGTAAGGTCTTCCCAAGTGTGTGACCATCTTTGCAGGCAAGGATAGAGTCTCAGCTGCATTTTTTTCTTTGACTACAGGTCGGTCAGCTTTTAATCAGCTGATGGGATAAAAGGTTGTGTTTTTTTTTTTTATACAGAAAGAAGCTCAAAGTAAAAATAGTGTTAGTTTGAAGGTTCTTTATAGAACGACCTAAGTCACTACGACTTTTTAAAACAAGAATTTGACAGGTCAAGGGTGTGCTTTTGCAGTCATTTAACTCTGGTTTGGATAGTGGTTTCCAGCGGAGGGAAATATTACATACAGCTCCTGTTTCCTACAGATGTCTGTTCATGCGGTGTAAGTTGGTAGCATGCAAAGTTTAGGAGGTTTTGCAAACAGATCCCTCTGCAGTGCTCAGTGTTTTCATTTCTCACTCAAGCAAAACCTATATTCCTCATGTAAGATGTAAAAGTTGAGAAGTTGTGGCCTGCCACTACATATTTCTGTCAAAGTAGAAGCCGTCCACCCTCCGACTTTCTCTTCATGAATGAACTGTGTTCAGATCCAAACCAGCTGTTTGTTGGGTGTAATTTAACATGCCTCACACTTAGGAAACTGTCTGACTTTATATTTCATGAGCTGGAATAACTCTATTCCCGTCTATCTTGCTCTTATAGAACACAAATACCAAACTGCTTTAACTCTCTCTGCTACATGAGCTCAGAAAGATAGTGATAATTTTCTTTTGGTTAAGCGTCAGTTTTATTTGACACATACAATGTCACATTGGTGAAGGATTTCTAATGTATCCTCCTAAAATAAATTACTTATGAGAAGTCTTCTAAACTAATATTTTTTTATTAAAAACATTAATAAAGAGAAAGCACAACTTAAACTAGTTGCTTTTTCACAGGATAACAAAACAGTGAAATAATATAAATCGATATATTGTGATATTTGCAAATGTTACCATTCTGATTTCCATTGGTTAATTTAGATTGGAAGTTGTTAATTTGAGAAAGATAACAAGTAACTCCTTAAATTATGACATTTTCAGTTAAGAGATGCAGTTATGAAATGTGAATCTCAGGCTGTTTAGGCAAATAATCCATGCATCATCTACTTAAACATGTTCGTTTACTTTAGCACAGTTGTTTAATATTAAAAGGGAAGGACATGAAACAATTGTGTTAAAGTAACTAAATATGCTTATGTAGATGCAAAAGATGCATGAATTATTTTGCTCTGTGGCCAGGACTAGTTAGACCTGGGTCGACATAGCCGCACGTGGAGCCTGGCTTAGTTTTTGTGGAACAGATGTAGCCAGGGTGGACCCCTAACGCTAGGTCCAGTCTGGATTTATCTCTTATCCTGGAATTTCTGAATTCAGCTTTTGTGAAACAGACCCCAGCATTCTTCAAGAGACAAAGAGGTCGATCACAGATTAATTGATTCAGAAAACAATAGGGGTTTGACTATTGACCTAAAAAAAACAGTGGAAGCTGAAATATACATATCTTGAGGTTAATAGATTTATATTCCTTTTTTATCCTAGCATTCAGTCTCTCTTTGGTGAGGTAGTTTAACTAATTTGCTTCAAAGTGTTAGACTTTGGATCAATACTGGGGTACATAAAAATCACATCTGTTCTAGAATTTCTTTTTGGATATAAAGCCTTATTCATCTGGCATGCAACATTGTAGAATCCCTCCTTGATGTAGTTCCTTCTTCTGCAGCCTGGGTTTTCAGCATCTCCAACTGCTTGCAGGAACATACCAATTATAGAAAATCTGAGCCCATTAATGTTCATGTATGTAACATTCAGGGCACGGCTCCGTTCTGTGCGGTGCTGAACTGGGACTCAGCAGTCTTCCCAAGCAGCAAATGCCGTCCCAAGTAAGCAGTAACGAGGTTAATTACCATGTAAAATTCAGTTAAGAGAAGTGGTAAGGAAATCTAAAGATATTAAGGGATTTAACTGATGGGCCGTTGTTTGGTACATCAGTTGGTCTGTGATCAACCAGTCTTTTAAAGAAAGCTGGGGATTTGCGTTCATCAAAACCTGCTGCTTGTTGAGCCTGGCTAAGCCTTTGTGAAATAGCTAAAGACAGGAGGCACTAATCCTGCTAAGTCAAGCCTGGATTTATCTCTTATCCTTGATTTCTAAATTCTGCTTTTGTAAAACATCCCACTGGACTGCACTTTGAATAAAAACAACAATAATAGCAAAAACGCTGTGTAAGAATGGTCAACTTCTTCCCATACTTGGGTTAAAACCATAATGATGTCATTATGGTTTTAATAATGAATTAATGTTCTAGGTATAACAGCGCTTTTATCATAATCATTACTTCAGTTAATATTTGAAATAATTTCATTGCTTTAAATAACAGTTTAAAAAAATATAGAAAATCAAAAATAAAATAGGTGATGTGCCATTACCTGTATTTTATCCAGAGAAGCCAGAAAACAAGAGCAGCAATCAAACCTGATTTGAATTGCGTTTCAAGTACTCTAAATGTCACATTGTTATTGTATTTGAAAATGCTCATTCCTAAGAATCACATCATAAAAGTTTACATTCAGTTGATCCCAGTAAGGATTGTCTTGAATGTGGAAGTACATTAAGAGGTAAAATTGAGGGATTGTTATGAACGAGTTTGGTTTTTAGTTTATAAGAAAAAGGTAGTTTTGCATTTCACCATTTCATCTTCTTTCTACCGTTGATGGTCCAACTTTTTCAGATGTCCTGACCTCAGGGCTGTTGTTGTTTTCAGGAAGTCAACCTTTTTCAACGTGCTGACAAAGAGTCAGGCTGCAGCAGAAAATTTCCCCTTCTGCACCATTGACCCAAATGAAAGCAGAGTGCCCATTCCAGATGAACGCTATGATTTCCTCTGCCAATTCCACAAACCTCCCAGGTATGGGGTCTCATCCTTCACGCATTATTCACACCTCACATTTGTAGCCGCTAAGGGCCACTATGCTATAGGTATGAAAAATCACACAACAGTGTTGTTGATATGTAGCTATATGATGTCCTCTGCGAGATATTAAATTTATGCTATTCTATTCTCCTCTCAAAGAAAAGAAAAATCAAAGGACTCGTCACAAAGCACATCTATAGAGGCTGTTTAAGCAGATAGATTTCAGTTATTCAGGCTACAACATGATCTAGGCAACATATAAGATACATGATAAATTGTACGTCGTAAGCATCATATCTGAAGAGCTTTGGAAAAAAAAGTTTCTCAAAAGCTATCAGCCTATCTACAGCATCCTACAATAGAATATTGGTAGTATTTTATATATTTATATATATATATATATATATATATATATATATATATATATATATATATATATATATATATATATATATGTATATATATATATATATATATATATATATATATATATATATATATATATATATATATATATATATATATATATATATATATATATATATATATATATATATATATATATATATATATATATATATATACATACATATATATATATATACATATATATATATATATATATATATATATATATACATATATATATATATATATATATATATGTATATATAAAATACTACCAATACATATATACCAATACATATACATATACATATATATATAATATATATATATATATATATATATATATATATATATATATATATATATATATATATATATATATATATATATATATATGTGTGTGTATATCAGGGTAAATGAATATTTAATAAATCAATATTTAAAAAAACTTTATAAAAAAAAAAAAACAGATTTAGAAATGATATGAGTTTATTCAACTTTGGGTTCATCTAAAGATAACATATTCTCCCAGTATTTTACGTGCATGTCTAGATTTTCTGCAGCAGACTTCAAACGCTTCAACCTACTTCCTCTTCAGCAGTGGAGGCTCGTGAGCAAGGGTGCAAAGAAAGCATTACAATGGGAAAATGTTACAATTTTTTTCAGGGCTTCTTAGAAAAGTCTTTTGATTATATTTTGTCTAATCAGAGTTAATAAGAGCGACATGACTGGTTCATTGTGAAATATTGTTCTTCTCTCTTCTGGATTATTACTCAAACAGTGTTAGCACAAAGAGGTGCAGCTGTTACTACTTGCTTTACTATGTTTTGCAATGTAAAGGTTTTTATGTATCCCCGACAAATCGATTGAGTAAACGTGCACCTGTTTTTAAATTGCTGGTGAAGCAAAATCATTCACAACTCCTTCAAATTGGATTATACAATATTTCATTTCATTTAAGAGGTTTGTTTTATGTAGTAAATGATTTAGGATGTTAAATCAAGGAAATAAACATTAAGTCTAAAAAAAGTCACATACCTACTTTGCAGCACGTAGGTGGAGGTATCATGCTTTAGATTCTTTGCTGTGGCAGGTTCTGGACATCTCCTAAATAATTCCACTACGTGCAGAGGTGGGCGGAGTACCTCAAATTTGTACTCAAGTAAAATTAACACTACTTTATCATATTTTTACTCAAGTAAAAGTAAAAAGGATTCGTCCAATAAAGTACTCAGGAGTAAAAAAGTATTTAGTGAAATGGATGCTGTAGCGCTAACTGATCAGAACATCCGATTTAATGTTTTTAAAACGATGTAATTTTAAAAAACATATGAAATTATTTGCAAAATTTTGAAAATGAGATAATTTATTTCATTCCTACTGTGTCATTTGGAGGTCAAGTGAAAATACAGAAAACAGTTCACTGTATAACGTTACAGGAAGTAACTTACCCCTATTTTACCCCATATACATAAAACTAAATAAATATAAATATATATTCATATTTACTTAGTTTTATCATAAAATCTGAGATCATGAAATAGGTACAAAGATCAAAAAAGCAGAAATGTAGGAAGTGATTAAACTGTGAAAGATATTGTAAGAGAGGAATCTACATAGCACTTTTTTTGAGAGAACGTTAAACAGATGTGGAGAAGTTCATCTTTTTTCCTTTATTTTTGTGTTTTAGTAAAATCCCAGCATTTCTCAATGTTGTGGACATTGCTGGTCTGGTGAAAGGTGCCCATGTTGGCCAAGGGCTGGGAAATGCCTTCCTATCCCACATCAGCGCCTGCGATGGCATCTTCCACCTGACACGTGAGTCACACTTTACTTCATTATACAAGACCTCACATAATCAGAAATAACACATATATAAGAGTATTTAGAAAGCTTGTAGCCATACCAACCAACCTATCAGCAGCAAAATGTTCATGGAAGCTAACTTTAATTTAGTCCTATAACTTTTTAAATGTTATAGGACTAACAATCTTAAATGCATAGGAAGGTCTGTACTAAAGCAGCCTTTCATATTTCACTGCAGGTTTGCAAAGCTGTTATCAAGTAAGCTCAATCACAGTCTTATAAGGTTGAAAAATACCATCAGTAACAAGTAAGAGATATTTTTGGGTAAAGTAAATGATTTTGTTTCTTTTTTTTTTTTCCATTGTCACTTTTTCAAATCATTCTGATGAATATTTTCGTAATTGACTTTTGGTTTATGCTTCTCCTTAACCCTTGAAGTTATGATTAAGAAGTAACATTTTTAAACCTGCTGTATTTAGTTCTAAATGAGAGCAGAGGATGTAAGTGCTTGATCATATTGTGATTTTTTTTCCATTTATCTCTCTAACAATTCTAACATCCACTTTTATTTACTTTGTTTGCAAATATTGCTTTCTGCTGTGGCAGACTTAAAATCATTTTTCGGTGTTTGTTCTCAGCCTCTACCTCTTGTTTGTGTTCCAATTAAAGTGTTACGAGCTAGAGCAATTCACATTAGAGAGAGTAAAATGAAGAAGAAGGTCCTTTTAGAAAGACATCACAGAATTTGTTTACTGATTGTATTGACTTCCCTCCTGCATGAAAAGAGCTCTGATTGGAGCTGGTGAGACAGCAAACGTAGAAAAATGTTTAAGATGCAGTCATTGTTCTGCTTAGGCTATCACAGACATATTGCATCTATTGCAGTAAAATTATCTTGTTTTTTTATTCGTCCTCACATTTTCAGATACTAATTTATAAAAGGAGTACAAGATTTAATAACGAATTACAGGGTCTGTCAGGTGAGATTAACTGGTGCCCCTTGAGTTGACAATGATGTTTCCTGTCATAAAAGTCACACAATAGAATTCATGTTTTTTTAATTATACTTAATCATAAGCAGATGCCAAAAATATGATTGACTTAACAACTTAATAACTTAGCTATGATGTCTGTGGCTTTTTGGGTCACTTTTAGGTCCTTTTGCTCATCCATGAAACACAGCAACCATGAATGAATGAGTAAACAGCACAGCCAGGGTTTCTACAGAATGATTTATGGTATTGCTCTGTCATAAAACCGAAGAGTTATTATTTAACTTAAAAAGAGAGAAAAAAATCAGAGCTTCCCTGTTGCCTGAGAATGTTAGGTTATGCAGTCACAAGAAAAAAAGAGTGCATCCTCTTTATGTTCTAGGTTACTGTTGTACCAATTATTCAACCCATATTATGCTTGTTAGGATTTTTGACATAAACCAGAATTACCAAAATGTTACCAATTAACAAAAGTTTAAAAAGTAAAAAAAAAAAACTATGCTTTTTTAAATCCAAATCCGGCACGATGATCTCAGGTGAACTTGATACATAACACCTCTAATGTCAGGGCTGCTGACGTATGGCAGTCAGGAGAAATTTCTAAAAGTTTAAATTGGCCTTGTACACACAGAAGAAAATTTCAGCAGAGGACTTGTTAGCACCTTCTGAAAATGATCATAAAATTCCATAACTTTGGGTTACTTCCCTGATAACAGGTAGATGAGCTCCTGATTACCTGTGTGGTTAAACATATTATTTAAAGCCTGACTTCCAGCAAAAAAACAAACAAACAAAAAATCTACAGGCCCAATTAGACAATGGGTTTATATTTTAAAAAAAGGCCTAGAAGTGTTGAAGTAGAGAAGTCAATATATTGGGGGTTTTCAGTGTAACAATCTTATGGAATAAGGTGATTTATGGATCATAGTAATGACAAATATCACTGCCAGAGAACCTGGATAAAAAGGCATCCATTAATCACTGAATAAATGAACAAATAAAACATTTATTAGGTGAATCTCATGGAAAGTGATGTTGAATTGTGTGTTAAACCAATTGGAAAAATTAAACAGTCTAAAAGCTTTTAAAGTTACAGAACATGACAGTCCAGTCATCTTCTATAGTTCAAACTGTGCTCCTGAGCATGCTCAGCTGACCCAGAGTATTGATTCAAAGAATAAAGGCAACAGTTGCTTCTAAGAGCCTTTTATTTACTTTATGCTACGTTCAGACCGCAAGCGCTGGAAGCAGCAAAAAAGCCTCTGCTTCATTTTTGATGCTTGTACACATGGAAGAAATTTTGATTTCAGAAATTGGGGGGATGATATATATACATATAAATATATATTTCTAAGTTCAGCATGTTTCACTATCCAATCACAGATCAGATTCAGTGCTGCATCAGATGTTTGTAAAGTGAGTTTCTCATTAGTGACAGCGGTGACACCCAATTACACAAGAAAAGACATTCGGCCAATCAGGAGCTTTTGGGCGGTTTTAAACTCCGGGAGGCGGGCTGCAGCTTAAGCTGCGATTTTCCGCTTGGTGCTAGTGCTCACTGAATGTCTGTGTACTGTAGTGTAACATTGTTTTTGGACTGTAAAATGTCCAGGGGACCAAAACGGAAAAACACGTAGCCTACCCCTGGTCCCCTCCCAATATTACGTCCATGCTTGTACACATTAAGGTCAGACGCGCGTAGGGAGCAGTTTTGATATTCCTGAGGATTGTCCAGTTAAGTGTGTCCAGATGCGTCTGATGCTCCTGCGTTCAATTTCAGACAGGGGTTTTGCTATATTTGCTGTTATAAGTGGGTAAAAAGTAGTTTTGATATGTTTTTAAGTGAGAAAGTCCACCTGAAAACTTCATCTGTGCAGTCAGTTTATCAAGATAATCCTGCTTTTAATTATTATTTCGCTATTGGAGCCGCTCAGACACCCATACAATGGTGGTGCTGTGTCCTAGGAAATCCCGATCAACGGCAGCCTGTTATCCAAACTGCAGGCACCAGAATAATAAAATCTAGCATATTTTCCGGCAGGTTTTGACATTTTAAGTTAATTTAGGCGTTAATAAACGGTTTTGTAGGAGTGATCATAGTGCTCTGCATTAGCAGTGCTGTGTCTTTCACCCTGCCAGCCTCAAATCAGCTTCTCTGATTGGTTGTATGGCGCATTGAGCAGCAAAAGTTACATTTTCCCAACTCCAACAGCTGCTGCTTTTGCAGCGCGTCCCGCGTTTCACATATTCAGAAACTCCAATGCGCTGCTCCTGCTGCTAAAAATGCACTGCAGGACCTTTTGCTGTGCCTTGATGGACGTCAACCGTTGACCTTGCATGTAATCCAGCTGCTTCCGGTGCCTCTAGGGCGGGCAGTCTGAATGTAGCATACAACTTAATCCTTTAACAAAGAGAATCTCTACAGCTTTCCATACTAGTCTTTTATTTTCTGAACACATCATCTCTGATACCATAACCTATACCTCTAAGCAAATCTCGATTTGTTTTTATGTAGGTAATATTCAAAGTCAGTTTAAAGATATGATAATTGTGCAATGAAAGATTCAACTGAAAGGACTCACTTCATAGCTCTTTTTCAGCAAGGAAAAGGCTGTTAAGATATTACTGCTTCCAAATGAGAACATATTTTTACCACACATGAAATTATAGTTTACTTATTGTTGTTTTATATTTGATCAGGGTCTTTTTCTGGTAAGAAATACTCTTTCTAATTGGTTTCAAACTTTCCTTTGTTTGCATCCCAGTTACTATACAAAGTTGATCTTCTTGATTGATATTATGGTATGCATTACAGTCTATACAGTAGCATTACTTAAGTTGAGTTATGGATATTTTATATCCTCTATTGTAAATGCGGTCAGAAGGACCCAGTTTGTTTTTGAGTTTTTTTTGACCGAGGGACAAATGTATATGCCAGATCCTCACCCCAAAACCAACTCTTTTGTTTCCTCTCACTCCAAGATGGCAAACAAACCGATCAGAAATAGAAATCGAAAGCTTCTTATGTGCAGTTATCTGCTCTGGCATGCTATTGTTTCCACACTTGTCAAGTCTTTAGAAACGACGCGGTTTGTTTCACAAGTTAAACATTCAACAACGCAGCTTTGGGTTTGTAATTATATCTGTCTGTGCAGAGTGCTGCACTGAAGCCTCTCCTTTTATATAGCTTGATTATATGCCTCAGAGAATCACACTTCTTGTCTCTTGAGTGTTTTTGTGTTAGTTGTTTTGTTTTTTGCAGAAACATTTACATGTTATAGAGTTTTATTCGAAGCTCATCTCTATTATCTGACAGTTTTTACAGAAGTTAAATTATATTGACCTGTAACTCTAAAAAAGATCTATGTATGAAAGAAGTCACATTACTTTATTTAATAGTTGTTTTATGTTAATATAAATAAAAGAGCATTTAATAGGAGCAAATGTTTTGTTGCTCCAGACCAGGACTGTGTATTTTAGGTACATGTTTTTCCCCTATCTTTAAATTAAAAAAAATGTAACCAGAAAAAACATTTCACGAAAGAATAGACGAAAGAATTAAACACATCCCTCAGACTCCCTCACCCAGCAAAACTTTAATCAAAGTGAAAACCATTACATCTTGGTGTGTCTTCAGTTCAATCAGCCTATTAGCCTATACCTCAAAGTTATTATATGTTCAAGTATTAATCCTTTGTGGTTCTAAATAGTACAACTAATCGTAGACCCACACTGACTTTATACACCATTTTTGTCAGTTTTGTAACAACTTCTCTTAGAGTTTATCATATTTAGCAGTTTATAATTTTCGTAGTGTATGATTGAGGTATATTTTGTATTTCTTTTTATCTATTCTACATTTGTCAGTTTCCTAGTTTATTCCATGTTCTTTGTAAATTAGGGTTTTCTTTTGTTTGATTTTTTTTTGTTTGAGGTCTCCACTGGTTTTGCTGTTAGATCTTTACAGTTTCATTAAGTTATTAGTTTATCTGTCGGTATGCTGATGAAGATTCTCAGTCA